TTGATTTATTGTAGAGATGAGGTCTCGCCTGCCCAGGCAGGTCTCGAACCCGCGGGCTCAAGCAATCCACTCATATAGGATTGCTACTGAAATTTCAGATCATCAGAGAAAATCAGTAACATCACAGGATGTGTCCAGATGATCTACTGATGCTTTGGTATTTGCAAAAACTCCCAGAGACCAGTCAGCATTCCCATTTCATGGATGGGAAGATTGTGGCTTGAGGAGTTGTGCAATCGACAGCATCACAAATTATGTGTGATTTTAATTGTAGAAACGAGTAGAGACGATGAGGTCTCATCAAGTTGCCCAGGTTGGTCTCGACCCCCCAGGCTCAGGCAGTCCTCTTGCCTCGGCCTCCCAAAGTGCTGGGATTACAGGCTGAGACACCGCACACAGCCGCTTCTTAATTTTTTAAAATGAAGCCATAAAGTTAGAAAAAAGCATAATTTATGTAACCATGGGTAGTGGGAAAAGCATTTATAAATAAGGATTTATAAATAAGGATTACTACAGGCCGGACGTAGTGGCTCAAGCCTGTAATCCCAGCACTTTGGGAGACCAAGGCAAGAGGATTACCTGAGTCCATGGGTTTGAGACCAGCCTGGGAAATTTGGCGAGACCTCATCTCTACAAAAAATGAAAAAAAAAATTAGCCAGGCGTGGCAGCGTGCACTCGTAGTTCCAGCCACTTGGAAGGCTGAGGTGGAAGGATGCCAGAGTCCAGCGGGTCAACGCTGGGGTGGCCGTGAGCATGCCACTGCACTTCAGCCTGCGCAATGGAGTGAGACTCTGACTCAAAAAAACAGAAACAGAAACAAAACATTTATTGCTTATTTTCTCTGTCCCAGGCACTGTGACAATCATTAGTGTCTGTCACAGATAGAATTCCTGATGCATTGACAAATCTCACATTTGCATGGTATGGTTCTATTAGCCAACAAAGTCCCCTTTACCTAAACCAGTGTCTTAGTCTATTCGAGTTTTTATAACAAAATGCCATAGACTAGGTAATTTATTAAAAAACAGGAATGTAGCCGGGCTCGGTGGCTCAGCCTGTAATCCCGCACTTTGGGAGGCCGAGGTGAGTGGATTGCCAGAGCCTGTGGGTTCGAGACCCGCCTGGGCAACTTGGAGAGACCTCATCTCTACAATAAATAAATAAATAAAATTAGCCGAGCGTGGTAGCACGCGCCTGTAATTCCAGCTACTTGGAAGGCTGAGGCGGAAGGATTGCCGGAACCCAGCAGGTCGAGGCCGTGGTGGCCGGGAGCGTGCCACTGCACTCAGTCTGGGCGACAGAGTGAGACTTCAACTCAAAAAGAAAAAAAAGAATGTATCTCTCAGAATTCTAGAGCCTGAAAAGTCCAAGATTAAAAAGCCAGCAGATTCAGCGTCTGGAGAGGGCCTGTTTTCTGGTTTATATGTGGTGCCTTCTGGTTGTGTCCTTATGTAGGAAAAAGAGAAAAAATAAATAAATAAACAAATAAAAATAAATAAAGATTACTGTAAATTTAAAAATCATTATCATCTCAAAAAGTTGGTGAATGCAGCTACATAAGAACTCAAAATTCTGTAAGGCAAACAACACTGTCAAGTTAAAACACAAAAAGCCCAATGGGGAAAAATGACCTGTGATGCACATGACAGAAAACGGATGCTATGCTCAGCGTATAAAACCCTGTGAAGTAGTAAGAAAAAGACCAGCCACCAGGAGACAGGACCAGCACAGGCTGTGAATTGGCTGTTTGCAGGGGGAAAAAAAAAGAAAGAAAAGATCAAATAACTTTTTAAAAAAAAAACCTGCGCTAGCTATGCAGGGACACTGTGGAATTCTAGACTGTCCTTTAAATCCAGGTCTTATCAAATGATAATTTGTGATGCTGCGATTGCACAACTCCTCAAGCCACAATCTTCCCATCCATGAAATGGGAATGCTGACTGGTCTCTGGGAGTTTTTGCAAATACCAAAGCATCAGTAGATCATCTGGACACATCCTGTGATGTTACTGATTTTCTCTGATGATCTGAAATTTCAGTAGCATCCTATATGACTTTTTGGAGTAAAAAAGAGTTATGTTTTTTAAACTAGCACACCCAGCTCATGCACCCGGGGATGTCCACACCCACATGCTGCCACCCGCCCTACCTGGATATTGTGGATGACATCTTTGAACACCGGGGAGCGCTGCGTCCACGAGCTCACCAGCCCCACGGCCCGGTCGAAATTCTTGACGTACTCGCCGTACATCTTCAGGAACGGGGCCAGCTTCTGCAGGATGTCCCCGAGTCGGGGATTCGCATCCCTTTGTGGGGGAGTGAGGACATCAGAGAAACCGCCCAGGCAGGACAGGGGCTCTGAGGCCAGGGGCATGAACTTCACCAGAGAGCTGTAGGTGGCGGCCAAAGGCAAAGGCCTGACCCCCGGCTCTGTGTGACGGTAACAAATGGGTCACCCTTTCTGAGCTTTAATTTCCTTCCTTACAAGATGCGATTAAATGAGGGATGCCTATAAAACACTCCAGCAGCGCAGGCTTGGAGCCAGGGCTCAAGACCCAGGAGGTGCTGGTAGTAGAACCCCTCGAACGATGGGCCCAGTTATCAAAGAAGATCAGTGAGAGGCCATTTTACTCCCTTTAAATGAGTAAAGATGAGAAACGGGGATCGTGTCCCGTGCTGGCAAAGCCATGGGGAAAGCAGCCCTCTGTGGTCCTGATGAGAGGGACGAACTGCTGCTTTGGACGGGGATTTGCAAATCAGTTTCAAGAGGCAGAAAAACATACGCATAGTTTCTGACCTTGGAACTATTGAAGATTTAACCTAAGTATGTAATCAAAGAGAAAGAAAAGAGCCACAGACACAAAGCCACCGTGGCAGCGGACCCGGAAAGTGCACTCGTGCATTCTGCCAAAAGGCCATTAACGGGGAGGGCAGGGTCGTCATTGCACTCTGGCGCCGCTGATGTAAGAGGAGCCGGGTGGGCCGCACGCACACTCGTGGATTAGCAGTCTCCAGGGGCTTGACAGAGAACACCAGTCTCTAGCAGGCGTGGGCTTCAGCTGGAAGGCCACATTCGCCATGACCACCTTAGGGACACGATATAAACCGCCCTGCAGTTGGACCATGTGCTTCTAAAGATCTACAAATTGAAGCCGGGCATGGAGGCTCATGTCTACAATCCCAGCATTTTGGGAGGCCAAGGCGAGAGGACCGCCTGAGCCCAGGAGTTTGAGACCAGTCTGGGCAACATGGTGAGACTTCGTCTCTACGATAAATTACAAAAATTAGCCAGGTGTGGTGGCATGTGCCTGTAGTCCCAGCTGCCTGGAAGGCAGAAGGATCACCTGAGCCAAGCAAGTCGAGGCTACAGTAGCCGTGATTGTGCCACTGCACTCCAGCCTGGGCATCAGAGTGAGACCCCTGACTCAAAACAAATAAAAAACAAATAAAGCAAAGGTGGAGTATAGGCTAACAGGGAAAATAAAACCAACTAACACGATTTCTTCACTCTTGGGCGTTTCCAGGTATCAAATCTCATTTAAATCCCCAAGAGCCCTGAATGGAGTGTTAAAATCTCTTCATTCTGCATCAGTCGCTTCCCGAGAAACTCAGGCTTGGAGACCAGTCGAGGTCACCAACCAGGAAGGGGTGGAGTTGGGATTGGACCCAAGGCCATGCAGGGAAGGGAGGTGCCCAGGCCACCAGGTGCCAGCGCCTCCCCAGTGCCTGCCGGGCTTCTAGGCATGGGAACCCAGCCGTAGAGTCTACCTGAGTTGCTCCCCCAACCTGGGCACCTGTGGACAGTGCTCACCACTCCTTCGTGATGCGTGTCTGCAGCTCGGGCAGCAGGAAGTGCCCGTGGAAGCGGTGGATGGAGGAGATGTTGGAAAAGATGCCCGTTACCACGTCTGGAGGGATCCCCGCTTCAGTCAGCCTGGTGCAGAAAACCTGAGTGTGGAGAAGCCCACACAGTGGTCACTGAGCAGCGTCCACTGCGGATGGTCACCGTGGGGCGTCAGTGCTTGGGGGCGGGGTCACTGCCACCTTGCCCTCCCTTTGCATCAAACTGATCCAAACCACCTGATGATCTTAATGCAAGCTTAACTACGGCTAAGGCAGTGGGTGAGGCAGGGACCGTCCCCTAGGACAGGGCAGGACATCTTTTCTCAGCCACCTCTCACGGGAAGCAGAAGGTGCAGACTCCTTCCCTGGCTTGTGAGATACAAACAGAAGCAACATGCTGTCAAAATCCTGGTCTCGTGGGTACGTCACTTCCTGTGCTCATCAGCCCCATGCTGCCCTGCAGGCAGGAATGAGCGGACCCACTGTCCCAACTACTTATGCAGAAAATGTCCAGGAGTCATTTATGTGCAACTGCCAAGAAGAAGTGTCCCAAAGGTGACCGGACAGAGCCTTCGCCCCTGAGCCACCCACACTGAACACAACAAAGAGATTTCTTACACCAGACTTAAATTTGTCTGAGCTTTAAGACTTAAGTCCTATTTACTCCACCTGCAATACCCTGCGAATGCTGAGAGATGGTGAGTTTGCCTCTGAAACCGCCCACTGAGATTCTAGAAGGGGACAGAGGTGGGTCCCTGAGCTACGTGGGCTACCTGGTCCAGCAGGTGCAGTCGCCTCACGTAGGTCTCCTCGGTGGATAGGAGCTCCTGGGCAATGTGGAGCAGCTTCTGGGGGTCGGAGTGCTGTGGAGAGAGGAAAGGAAGCTCATCTGGGGAAGACGCGCCTTGGGGAGTCAGCAACCGCCAGGGGCTGCCCACTGTGCTCCAGCATAACCAGAGTCCGCGGCACAGGGGATGTGTTGCTCAGTTCTCACTGAACGTGTTTCCAGGGAAGTTTTTGGAAAAGCACAGCAGCTTCGCTCAATCCCTAAAAAGCCTCTCCTGCCCAGAGATGATGCTACCCCCCTGAGCCTCTGTCTACAGAGCAGCTGCAGTGACCACATCAAAATACATTGTAGATGTCAGCAAGATGGTGGACTAGGAAGCTACAGGCCCTCCTTCCCCCACAGAGACACAAAGTTGACAACAATACACAAACCACAAGCCACAGATGGCTCCCCGGACCGCACGTGGGAGAATTCTAGAGCTGAGTTGAGACATCACAACGCCCAAGTCATCATAAAGCCAAGAGGAGATTTCAGCAAAAGGTGCAGGAAAATCGGTGATGCACGTCAGTCTTGGGCTACTCGTGCTGCCGTCACAAAACGCCGAAGACAGGGTAATTCATGAAAGGCAGAAATCTATTTCTCACGGTTCTGGAGGCTAGAAGTCTGTGATCAAGACACCAGCATGTTTAGTGTCTGGTGAAGGCTTAATCTCCACTTCCAAGGCGGCGCTTGGAACACGCGCTTTTACGGAGTAGAAGGGTGGAAGGACAAAGCAGGGATGAAGGCTGTGTCCTCACGTGGTAGAAACGGTAGAAGAGCAAAAGAGAACAAGCCCATAACACTTTCTCTCCCTTTTATAAGAGCCCTAATCCCACTCGTGATGACTCCAGTCGCGTGAGTTAACCACCTCCAAAGGTCCCCCCCCCAATGCCATCACATCAGCAATTAAGTTTCAACATATGAATTTTGAGAAACACGCTCAGACTGTAGCAGCTCCCTCCTGTGCTCCTTTCCTATGCAGCCTAGCATGGCACAACTGAGAGGAAACCACCCCTACGGGGGTTCTTCCTGCAGGGTAGAAACAAAAGAGTGAACTGTGGGTCCAACATTCTGGCTTGTCTGGGGGCTGCCCAAGGGACTGGTCTCTGTCCGTTTGACTAGAGTGCTAGTAAGACCAGCAGCAGAGTTTGAAAGCCACTGAAAACAAAGGCTAGCAGCGCATTAGAGCTTCGGTTCTGTAGATAGATAGATGCCAAGGAAGCAAGAGGTCAAAGAAGGTTTGAGAGATCCTAAACTCCAGCTGGGCTTATTGGTGAATCTTCTCCTGAATGATGCCAGTGTACAAAGACTGGGAGAGGTGTTTGTTTTTTTCAAATTCCCTCCCCCACCAAAAAAAAGCATACAAAGAAACAGAAAAACATAACCCAATCACAGGAACAAAATAAAACTCTCAAATCTGATCCTTAAGAAGCACAGTTGCCATAAAGATGCTCAATGAACTCAAAGAAAACACAGATAGATGAGTTCTTTAAAAATCAGGAAATAAGCTCAAGCAAAATAAGAATATCGACAAAGAGGTAGAAACTTTTATAGTCTGTAATCCCACGCCTTTGGGAGGCTGAGGTGAGTGGATTGCCTGAGCCCGCGGGTTCGAGACCTGCCTGGGCAGGCGAGACCTCTACAATAAATCAAAAATTAGCCGAGCGTGGTAGCGTGCGCCTGTAGTTCCGGCTACTCAGAAGGCTGAGGCGGAAGGATCGCCGGAGCCCAGCAGGTCGAGGCTGCAGTGGCTGGGAGCGGCCACTGCACTCCAGTCTGAGCAACAGAGTGAGACTCCAACTCAAAAAAAAAAAAGGATAAAACAGACATTCTGGCGCTGAAATATTCAATAATTGAATAGAAAATTTTATAAGAAGCGTTTGACAGCATACTTGATCAGACAGAGGGAAAAAATCAGCAAACGAAAAGAGATTATTCAAAATCATACAGTAAGAGGAGCAAACAGAAAAAGATGAGGAAAAGCAAAGAAAGCTTAGGGGACTTATGGGACACCACCAAGTAGATCAATGTATGCATAAGGGAACACCAAAGGAGAAGAAAGGAAAAGAGCAGAGAGTTTATTTAAAGACATATTGGCTGAAAACTTCCAAAATCTGAGAAAAGCAATGCACATAAAAATTCAAGAAGCTCAAAGACCTCCAACTAACATAAATCAAAAGAATCACAGCAAGATACAATACAATCGGCCGGGCTTGGTGACTCAACCTGTAATCCCAGCACTTTGCCAAGGCGAGTGGATTGTCAGAGCCCAAGGGTTCAAGACCAGCCCGGGCAACATGTTGAGACCTTGTCTCTACAATAAATCAAAAATGAGCCGGGTGTGGTAGCACACGCCCGTAGTTCTGACTACTTGGAAGGCTGAGGCAAAAGATCGCTGGAGTCCTGCAGGTCGAGGCTGCAGTGTCCAGGAACGTGCCACTGCACTCCAGTCTGGGTGACAGAGTGAGATTCCAACTCAAAAAAAATAAGAGACATAACAATTAAACTGTCTAAAATCAAAGACAAAGAAAATCTTGAAAGTAGCAAGAGAAAATCAATTTATCTCATACAAGGGGACTTCCATAAGGTTATCAGCGGACTTTTCATTGGAAACTTTGCAGATCACAGGAGAGTGGGATGATATATTTTATATGCTGGGAGCCAGGTGAGATGGCTCACACCAGTAATCCCAGCAATTTGGGAGGGAGAGACAAGAGGACTGCCTGAGCCCATGGGTTCGAGACCAGCCTGGGCAACATGACAAGACATTGTCTCTACAACAAATAATAATAGTAATAAATTAGCTAGGCATGGTGATATGCATCTGTAGTTCCAGTTACTTGGAAGGGTGAGGCAAAAGGATTGCCTGAGCCCAACAGGTTGAGCCTCTGGTGACTGTGAGCATGTCACTGCACCCCAGCCTGAATGACAGAGTGAGACTCTGGCTCAAAAAAGAAAAAAATGCTGGGGGAAAAGACTGTCAACCAAGAATACTATATTTGGCAAAACTGCCTTCAAAACAGGAAAAAGTAAGACTCTCAGGTAAACAAAAGTTGAAGTTACCACTAGACCTGCTCTACAAAAATAATAAAGGGTGGTAAATATTAAAGCAGAGCCACATGATGATATAAGGTTCTCCAGTAAAGGTGAATACATGGACAAATATAATCTGTAGTAGTGTAATTTTATGCATAACATTTAAATCACAAAAACATTTAAGTACTTTAAAACTCTGTTCTTTGGCCTACAATACATAAAGCTGAACTTGTGACATTAACAGCACAGAGTGGGGGAAGGTGGAACTGTCAAGGAGTATGGCGTTTGTATGCAGTTGAAGTTATCAGTTTAAAGTAGAATGCTATAACTTTAAGACGTTTTTTGCAATTGCAGCGGTAACCACATACACCTAGAGGATATACACGAAAGGAAGTGAGAATGGGATGGAAGCATATCACTACAAAAAAGCAATGAAACACAAAGGGAGGCAGCAAGAGAGTAAAGGAGGAACAAGAAAGAACCCTCTTAGACATACAGAAGACAGTGAACAAGATGGCAACAGCAGGCCCTTCCTATCAGTAATTACTTTAAATGTAAACGAATTAAACTCTCCAGTCAAAGGACAGATTGACCAAATGCATTACAAACAACAGCCTCCAACTATATGCTATTCACAGAAGACTGACTCTAGATACAAGTACACACACAGATTGAAAGTGAAAGAACAGAAAAGATCTTTCATGCACATGGCAACCAAAAGTGAGCAGGAGTGACCACACTTACATCAGACAATACAGACTTTAAATCAAAAACTGTCACAAGGTTTGGTATGGTGGCATGTGCCTATAGTCCCAGCTACTTGGGAGGTTTACGTGGGAGGATCACTTGAGCCCAGGAGTTTGAGCCATCCTGGGCAACATTGTAAGACCCCACCCCCAGGAAAAAAAGAAAAAAGGAAGACGACTGAAGTCAGCAAGGTGGCTAACTAGAGATACCTCGAGTCCATTCCCCTCACCAGAAGGGACCCAGGCGATGAATAAACAGCTGATATTCGACTGGAGGGTCAAAGGAGGAGTGACGGGGTGCCGTGAAGGCGTGGAGACGCACCTGGGGTAACAGGAAGCCCAGGAAGGAAGTGTGAAGGCACCTGGCCTCTGAAGCCCCAAGATCCGCTTGGCCTCGACCACCCAGAGTCAGGAGGGACTTGCATTTGGGGAAAAGGTAAGCAGAAGACGCCCACCCATCCCCACCACCACCATAAACACCCACAGTCCTTACAACAGGAGAATAATCCCACAGTCCTCGCAAGCCCTGAGCCCAGTTGGAAGAGTTACTGGGAACCCATGCGACTGCATCGCCTCAGAGCAGGAGGACAAGGTGTGTGCGCGGCCCCCATCCCCCGCCCGCCCCTGTGAGCCACGCTGCTGCCGCGCAGCCCCACCTTGAGACCCCAGCCGCCTCTGGAGCACGTTCTGCTCTGGGACCAGTAGCCACTGCCTCTCTGTAGCACTGGGGCTCCATCAAGACTGCACAGGCAACTCAGCATTACAACCCCAGGGCCCGGGACTGGCCGTGACTCTGGTGCTGCACAGCAGGGAAACCAACCAACCCCCACCACCAACTTCCAGCTGGAAGAACAGTCTGGCAGCGCTGCCTGGGGTGACTCCACCCCTGAGCAGCCAAACTGCTGCAAACCCTCCCATAAGCAGGATTGGCCTTCAAGGCTCCCAGCAGCGTACATGCTCTTGGCCCAGCAGGGCGGCTGTGTGCCAGCGCTCAGGACCCGAGTAACAGCCCCACAGTGCTCCTGTCCCTGCAGACACAGCCCTGGCTGGCCCAGCGATCCTGTGCTCCCAAACAGGGCCTGAGTAACAGTTCCTCGGGCTGTGCCTGGAGGATACACCCCCAGGCCAGCCAGGCAGTCAAAAGCCCACATCTCCAGACTAAAAAACAGCCCCGTGATCCACCCTCGGTGGTAGACATGCCCCAGGCCAACCGAGCAGCCTAGCAGCACTTGCAGTCTCAGACCTAAGAAACATC